AGGAGAAGGACAGTGCTAATGAAAATCAAAATAAAAAAGTCAAAAGAGCTAGTTTTGATAAAGGAAAAAATGGTTTGTATTTAGGCAGGTTTCATTCGGGCAGCAGTGGGAGACCACTGTGTCCAGAGAGGGAGTTGAAAGCGTGGTACCGAACTTCTGGGGGAAAAAATGAAGCTGAAGATTCAAATTTGGTAGGGGTTTACAGGTATTGGCTGGAACTTATCCTTTCTTTTCTGCTTGGAATGCCCTTCCTTTCCTTCTCTACCTGGCAAACACCAATTATTATTAACACTACTGTATTTGCTGATTTGGATGGTGAAAGAAACAAAAGATGGGGGCTAAAACTTGCCTAAAACACAGAGCAGCAACCTAAAATGACAAGAGCCCAAAGACACTTAAAAATCTGCTTAGGGCAGGGATGGGTGTGGGTTGGGACGGCAGCTCTACGCACTCACCATTCCAAGGTGGAGGCTTCCAGTGGGCTGTTTCCTTGGTGGGGTACATGATGGCTCCCCCAAACTGCTCTGCCCATTCCACATCTGGCTGCCACTGCCGAGCACCTCTGGGGAGTTAAAGACAGATCCTAGACAAACAGCCTAAAAGATACTTTGTTTCTCTGTTCCCATTGACTCTCCAGTGGGCCCATGGAAGGATGTCTTGGATCCTTCAATGCCCCAAGTCACTGACACACAGTAATGTAACCCTACTGGTAAACAAGCTGGAACGCTAGGGGTTCCGTTTCTACTAACAACTTATTTCTGGAATCGCTTCACCCATCAGCCCTGTGCATGCAAGGTCGGGGATCCTAGCTCTTTCATATTCATATTCCCAACCTGGAGAACATGAATGCTAGAAAGTGCTTATTCCAGGTCAACCAAAGACTAAGAAGCAGGAGCACGTAAGCATTCTGGCTCCTTGGCTGAGCATTAGGTTGCTCAGGCATGACCCAGTGAGGTGCATTGGGGCCAACCAGGGATCCTAGTTTGCGTTGCTCCTTTTACTCCTTTATGCGCCCTTTCCTCTTCTCCCACAGCATCCCAGTCTGTAAGGAGACTTTTCACCAGGAGCACCCTGCCCCTCGTGATGGGGGTTGGGAGGGACAGCAGGGCATAAGGACGGGACACTACCACTAATGTTGACGGGCAGGGTCTCCTATCCCACTGATCTCACCCCTGGCAAAACAAGCTCAAGACCCTCTTCCCTCTCTCAGCCAGAGTGGGCGCCACTGCATCCTGGATTCCGAGTCTTGAGGCTTGGGCGCGAAGTCACAGATCTGGGTCATTCTTTCCTGGGGGGTCACAGGGCCTATGGAGTGTCCCAGACTAGAGAAACCCTAGCCTTGGGGAAACCGCGACGAGCGCCGTCCTCGGTCTCACCTGCTGGGCTGAATCGGCAGTCGAACCCTAGCCCCGGGAAGAAGCACCTGGGCCGCGATGCCCCGGAGGCTGCAGAGAGCCCTCAGCGCCGCCATCTTATTCCCGCTGCAGACAGCGGGAAGGAGAACCGGGCGGAAGTGGCTTCTGCGAGCCTCCTTGTAGGCTTCTCGCCTATTGGCACAATGGAGCCGCCCTTTTGAAAGCTGGCGGTGTCGCCGACCGCGAATCTGACAACATCCGGGTTCTGTGTCTGCTTCACTTTCGCTTAAATAGCTGTGACTGCCGTCATCTTTACTAAGGACAGTTCTTCCCGTCGCTACTGGCTGGCTTGTCAAGGCGTGAGCCAGCGAAACTTGCCACTCCTGCCAGGGGCAACAACCCGCTTAGGGCTCTTCTTGCCGAGCCCGCCTGCGAGTACCTTAGAAGCCGTCCTTCGCCGCGTCCCGGGCGCACACTCGCTCCGGGGTTCCTTCCCTGCTCCCTTCTGCCTTGACTGGCTCTTTGCTTTAGTTATGCTCTCCAGCAGCGCCTGAGCCCTGCCCATCTGGGGTTGTTGCTAGCTGTCTTGGAGTCCGCCCGACTTATGGCGACCACATGTGCTCCATAGAAGTTTTCTTGGCTGCAATCTTTACGGAAGCGGTTCGCCAGGCTTTTCTTTGCTGGCATCGCTGAATAGGTTCAACTCGTCATCCTTTAGGTTAGCAAGCCTAGCCCCTGCCCTTCGGGGTTAACCCCAGGCTTTCACAATTACCTCTCCACCCTTGAATCCAAGAGGTTCCAATCCGGGAAAGCCACACCCTTTGAACTTCCAGATGTCCTGAATCAGGTTAGGGAAAGGGGGCCCAAGTGGGGCTAGGTAGGTCTGAGCGCTCCCGCCAAACCAAAACAGAATAAGAATAGAGCACCAAGGCCAACTGCCTGCAGGGCTGTTGGGGAGCCACCTCTCCCCAGAAAGAGGGGAGGTCCCCTATGGGTGACCCTGTTATCTGTCAGGCTCCCTGAGCCTACAGAATCACAGACCCAGGAAGCACCCTTAGAGATGCCTCACACCCACCTTCCAGCCTGGGTCAGTGTCTTCCCTCACCTCTTTCTGACCCTGCCTCCGTCCTGGGCAATGGCCAACAGCACAGAAATGTGGTAGCACCAGGCATCTGATCCCAGTTTTGTATGGAAGAGACAAAGAGCTTTCCAGCCTTGGAGGCCAGTTCCTTTTCTCTCCCTCTGCCCTCCAAGCTCAGCTCCAGCTGGGCCACCCGTTGAGTTTTTACATCTCTTCCCACCCTGATCCTGGAAAGAGGCCTTCCCTAGATCTCCCCCAGACAGGGTTCCTGGGACACAGCCCACCAGCAGCGCAGAAGGGTGGGACAGACAGACCAGGGGAGTGGCGGAAACGGAATTATTAGCTGCAAAGAAAGAGGGGAAAGCCAGACTTCTTGCCTGGGAATGGGAACCAGACCAAAGGGTGGGGCCAGAACCCTGGCTGCGGGAACTGACCAGAACCTGGGGTAGACGGGGCAGCCCCCACAGAGCCAGGGTGGAGATTCAGCCCCCTTAGCCCCCTTATTCCCCACCTTTCCCATGGGCTTTCTCTCCCTCTGTGCTTGGGACATAGTAAATGTGATGGGGGTGGGGGTGGAGGGTTGAGGGATTGCATTTTTTTTGCCCTAGTCCAGCCCGGGAGAAGTCAGGACAGATTCTGGGCTGCTTAGCCCTGGGGACAGCTTGAGCTGGGACTGGGGTGAGGGCTCCTGGGGGCTTCCTGAGACACTGCATCTTTTGTGCCTTCTCCCTGCTGCTAATACCCACACATACACTGCTGCTGTGACTCTAAGGCCCTTTGTTTCTCACTGCTTAGTCACTTAGTCACCCCCTTTGTCCTCATCTCAGATGGGGTGGGAAGGGGCCATAAGAGCCCTCTGGGGATAGCTCCTCTTGCCCCTGCCTCTGCTTGTCTCCCATCTCGTGTCTAACTCCTCCAGCCCCAGCGCCCTCAACTCAGGACCAGGGTCAGGGTGTTTGGTGGGTCTCAGGGCCAGGGGGTGGAGGGTGGCACAAGAAGTGATGGGCACCAGGGCAGGTGTTAGTGACCTGAGCAGGAAGGGAGGGGAGAGGAAGTATTAGGCGGATATGAGGTGGGGGACAGGAGGTGACAAGGCAGAGAGTGAATAGGTGGATGGGGGCAGGGGGAGCTGGTCCACCTCTGGGAAGGGAAGAGATTGCTGACTGCACTCTCCTTCCTGGGGATTTCCTGGGGAAATGAGTGGCTATAGGGTGGGGTGAGCAGAAACTGCCCCTACTTCTGAACCCTTTACTGACTCACTTTGAGGGTCCACTGTAAGATCACTTTTCTGAGTTTCCTCAGCCCAGAACCAAGGGAATCATTTTGCTTCCTTTCCCTAACACTACCTCTTCGACTTCCCTACCACAGGCATTGGGTTTCCATTTCTCCCAGTACTCTAACTTCCCTATATGTACAATAATGCTGCCTCCTTCCTCTCTCTGTTCCATGGAAATGAGAAATAAAGATGACTAGGTATTTCCAGAAAGATTGGGCTCTTATGGCAAGGTGGGTCCAGGGGAGGGAGCCAGGTGGCGATGCCCTCGGCTTGACACTGGGTGCCTCTGGATTCCTGAGAGCAAGTCCTTTCTGTGCTGGGGGCCTGGGGCTGGCTGACTGGAGGCTGGAGGAGGATTTAGGGCATTTGAGAGTGGGTAGAAGCAGGGCCAAGAGTCTAGGGGAAGCTACTGGGATCTGGGCCAGAGAAAGGGGAGTCAGGAAGTGGGGGGCCATGGGGAACCGGAGGCGGAATGGCTGGCTGTTCAGAGCTTTGGAGGGGGTGGGTAGTGGTAACTCAGGAAGGGGGAGCCTGAGGGAGAGTAGGGACGTTAGAGAATAGGAGGTGCCACCCTGGATCCTCCTCCTATATAAGGAAAAGTCGTTAGCCCCTCCTGCCTTGTCGTCTGCCCCCTCTTAGTGCCAGAATGATCCCACCTTCAGGCAATAAACTCCCTGATCATTGTCTCACTCATTTCCCCATCCTCCCTGCTCAGTCCTGTCCTGAACCGTGCCAAGGCTCCCCCACCTCCTTTCTTTGTCTGCCTTCGGTTGCTTCCTTACCTATTCCCCACCCTTTTTCCCCAGCAGCTTGCTGAGTCCCCACGGCCCAGGAAGCCAGCTTCTAGGGGCAGAGGGTAGCATGAGGAAACCCTGAGAAAGCGGAGGTCATACCAGGTTGGACAGAGGGATCAGAATTCTCCCAGGACCATAGTCCTCTCTTTGCGTGTTGGCCAGGCCCTTTCCCCAACTTCCTAACCCTCCTGGGGCTCTGTCCCACCAAAAAGGGAAAGAGACAGCTGAGAGCCGTTTGTAGGATTTGGGAAAAGGCTCTGTCATCAGCTGGCCCAGTGCCTATGACCCATCCGGTTGCTAGAGATTCCCCCCTCCCAGCCTCCTAGGCAAGTCCCTTTTTTTTTTTTTTTTAAGGAAAACAAAAAGTAGAATTTTGGGAAGCAATGAGACACCCATCTGAGTCCCACCATAGAGCTCCCGGCTGAGTGGCTTACAGCTCAGCCAATCACAGAAACTCGGGATGCTTAAAGGAGCTGGCGCGGAGAGAGGCTGAGGAGAACCCACGGGGAGACCCACAGACACATAGACACGGGAGAGACAGAGGAGGAGAGAGACAGAAACAAAGGCACAGCGCAAGGAGGCAGAGACAGAAAGGACAGGCACAGAGACGAAGCCAGACACAGTCTTACATAGGGAGAGGCCAGAGAAGCTGCAGAAGACACAGGCAGGCAGACAAAGATCCTGGAGTTTGGAGGAGCCAGACCACTGGAGACCTCCCCTCAGCCTAGCGGCCAAGTTTTCTCCATCTCTTCCGAAGGTCCCCAGCCCCTCTGAAAACTTTGCCTCTGACCCGAGCAGGAGTCTGAGCCCCGCAGGCTGCAGAGAAGGAGCGTTCTAAAACCAGGTTTTGGAGGGCTGGGTGCCCCAGACACCTCACTCCCTCCCAACTGCAGCACTAGAGCCATGTCCTGGATGGGGCTTCCCAGGAGAGGCTTGGAGGGCCGCTGGTCTTGGGGAGTCCAACCCCGCTTGCTGCTCCCCACCGTGCCCCTCTCCGGGCTGGGGCGGCTGCTGCTGCTGGCCTCCCTCCTGCACTCAGCCCGGCCGGCCAGCCCCCTCCCCCGGGAGGAGGAGATCGTGTTTCCAGAGAAGCTCAACAGCAGCATCCTGCCTGGCTCGGGCACCCCTGCCAGGCTGGTGTACCGCTTGCCGGCCTTTGGGGAGACGCTACTACTAGAGCTGGAGCAGGACCCCGGCGTGCGGGTCGAGGGGCTGACGGTGCAGTACTTGGGCCAGGCGCCCGAGCTGCTGGGCGGAGCCGAGCCAGGCACCTACCTGACCGGCACCATCAACGGAGACCCGGAGTCAGTGGCATCTCTGCACTGGGATGGGGGAGCCCTGTTAGGGGTGCTGCAATACCGGGGTTCTGAACTCCACCTCCAGCCCTTGGAAGGGGGCACCCCTAACTCTGCTGGGGGGCCTGGGGCTCACGTCCTACGACGGAAGCTTCCTGCCAGTGGCCAGGGCCCCATGTGCAACGTCAAGGCTCCTGCAGGGAGCCCCGGCCCCAGCCGCCGAAGAGCCAAGGTAGGCAACCCTCGAGTCCATGTCCTGCAGTGTCCTCCCGCCATGTCTGTCCTACTGACCTTTATTCACCCTCTCCCCACCCACTTCCACTTCTGGCCGTCCTGCTTCCCTTCCTCCTGCCTGCCTTTCCTCTTTCCACTCGTACTCTTTCTTTGGGATCTGCCTGGCAGAGAAGTCAGGGACAGCTGGGGAACACAAAGGCTCTGTCCTCTCCCCAATCCAGCCCCAGCCCTCCCTCTGGCCAGACTGATCCCCACCGAGGTTTCCCAGAAGTGGGTCAGAGACTCTGGGTTGGGAGTGACAGCTCCCACCCTCGCCTGGCCGTGGCATCCCCTGCTGGCCCAGTCCCCAGCAGTAAGGCACAATTCACAGTCCCTTGGCCTTGGCTCTTTGGCTTGCCCCTAATTTGGTTTCCACTCCACCCCATCCCCCACAGCTAAAAGAGTGAGGTTGGAAGCCCTGAGGGATTGGCCTCTGGCTGCTGACGCTGCCTTCAAAATTGTCCCGGCAAACTATAAACTAGGGCAGAAGTGGGCAGAGGAGGAAGACACCTCATGCCTCCTCTGGTCAATGGCCTTCCCACACTGTGGACTGACTTCCAGGCCGCCTGAGGCTCCATCCTTTCCTCCCACCCACTCCAGCTCTCCCCCCTTCCTCCCTTTCTTCCTCCCTCCCCCCTTCTCTAACTTTAATCCAGACCAGACGCTGCTCCCTGGGCTCCCTCCACACCCGCCACGCTGAGATCTGGCCCTGGCCCTAGCTGCTGACTGAATTGTTCCTGCGACCACACAGGGCAGACACGTTGCAGCCCAGCCATCTAGCCCCAGTCCCCACAGACCCCTGCCCCACTCATGCCTGAGGGACCCAAAGCCCCTCCCCAAGGCAGTCTCAGCTGCTCTTCACCTCTGGGTCCCACACAGCCCTGGGACGTGGCATTCCCCCTTCTCCTCCCCATTCTCAGAACCAACAGCTGATTCTTTAGAGTTACCGCAAAAGCCTGGGATTTGGGGGTGGAGGAAGGGCCCAGTCAAGACCAATCAGGAATCCCGTGGGGTATGCAAGGCCCAGCTGGCTCTGCTGAATTCCAGACCCAGGAAGTGAGGGAGGGGAGAAATGAGCCACAAGTTTGGGAAGCTATTTCAGGATCCTCCTCTCCTTTTTTCTCTCCAGCGCTTCGCTTCACTGAGTAGATTCGTGGAGACCCTCGTGGTGGCAGATGACAAGATGGCGGCATTTCACGGGGCAGGGCTAAAACGCTATCTGCTGACAGTTATGGCAGCAGCTGCCAAGGCCTTCAAGCACCCAAGCATCCGCAACCCTGTCAGCTTGGTGGTGACTCGGTTAGTGATACTGGGGCCAGGCGAGGAGGGGCCCCAGGTGGGACCCAATGCCGCCCAGACCCTGCGCAGCTTCTGTGCCTGGCAGCGAGGCCTCAACACCCCTGAAGACTCAGACCCTGACCACTTTGACACAGCCATTCTGTTTACCCGTCAGGTGAGGCCCCGTCAGCACCGCAGGCCATGTGAGGCCCCGGTCAGCACCACAGGCCATGCGCCGCACAACTCTAAAGCGCGATTGCGTCGGTTAGGGTGTAAATGGCACCCTTGGAGTGGCGCAACAGGGCACCCTGGCCCAACCACACTGCCAAAGCCGTCTGCAGCCTGACAGCGCTGTGATCTCTCTCAACAGGACCTGTGCGGGGTCTCCACTTGCGACACTCTGGGTATGGCTGACGTGGGCACTGTGTGTGACCCGGCTCGGAGCTGTGCCATCGTGGAGGATGATGGGCTCCAGTCGGCCTTCACTGCTGCCCATGAACTAGGTAAAGAGGGGATGCGAGCATGGGGAACCTGGGGTGGGTAAGAGATGTATCAGGGATGGGGTAAGGGAATGGTGAGCTCACTAGGGTGCACATGGGGCTCCCAAGGTGTAGCTTCCTCCTTCCCAGGCCTAGGTCCAGGGGTTATTATCTTTCTCTGCTCTGGGTGTAAGCAAATATTTATATTTTCCTATTAAGTGAGATAGAGTGTGGAAACCTATTGTGCACTTCCTGCGTGTGTGTCTGGGGGAAGGAGTTAGCACAGTATCAAGAGAAATATTATTCACAAGAATCAGTGAGGGAGCAGGTGAGCACAAGGCTGGGAATGTTGGCTACAAGGAAAAGTAGGGAGGGGACCTGAGTGTATTCTGGGGAGACAGAGCAGTGAGGGCTACATTCTGGGGAGCCTTCAGAGCACCAGAAGGACCTTGGTGGTGGGTTGGGATAGGGAATGGACCTGAGCATCCCCAGCTGCAGCCAGGTTATAGGCCTGATAGGCCTGATAGGCCTGCAGCCTCCTTAGGGCACAGGATGGGACCTTTGGAGCCCAGAATGCCTTCTCCTTTCACAGGCCACGTCTTCAACATGCTCCATGACAACTCGAAGCCGTGTGTGGGTCTGAATGGGCCTGGGAGCACTTCGCGCCATGTGATGGCTCCTGTAATGGCCCATGTGGACCCCGAGGAGCCCTGGTCCCCCTGCAGTGCCCGCTTCATCACTGACTTCCTGGACAATGGCTATGGTAAGCAGATGGCACTCATCTATGTGTCAGGCTCAATTCCTATCCCCTGCTACACTCTCACTTCCACTACATCCACACAGGCCAAACCGACTTCCCCAAGTGTGCTTCCTTGGCAGTGTGGGACAGGGGAGAAATGCTCCTGTCTCTGTGGTCCCCACTTCCTCCCAGAATAAATAGCAAAGCCTAGCGGAGGCAAATCTTAGCTCAAGAGAATTAGAACTGATCTTTTAAGGGCCAGAACTGCCCAACACTGGAATGAGCTTGCTGCAAAGGAGCTTGAGGAGCACGCACAACACGGGATAACTACTCCTGGGCAGGGCTGTTTCTGAGAAGCTGATTCAAGAATTCTGTAGTTGGTTAAAATAGACAGGAAGACTTAGTATTTTGAGCTCCTCTCTGGATTTTGTTCTTTAGATATGTGTAAATGTGTGACTAAGTTACTTAACCTCTCTGAGTTTGTAGCTAGTCTGTAAAATAGGTATAACAATAATAACTACCTCATAAATGTTTGCCATGATTAAATGAAAGAATGCTGGTCAAGCATTTAGCCAATGCTCATCACATAATAAGTATCCAATAATCTGTGGCTGTTATTGAAAGCCTCTTCCAGCCCTAGGATTTGGATTCTAGGATTCCTTAGGCCCCAGGGAGCCCAAGCTTTTTTTTTTTTTTTTGCAATCTAGAATGCTCCCCTTGGCCCCTTGCTGACTTCATACTCCAACTTTCTTCCCAGGGCACTGTCTCTTAGACAAGCCAGAAGCTCCTCTGCATCTACCTGCGACTTTCCCAGGCAAGGACTATGATGCTGACCGCCAGTGCCAGCTGACCTTCGGGCCCGACTCACACCATTGTCCACAGCTGCCGCCACCCTGTGCTGCCCTCTGGTGCTCCGGCCACCTCAATGGCCATGCCATGTGCCAGACCAAGCATTCACCCTGGGCTGATGGCACCCCCTGCGGGCCGGCTCAGGCCTGCATGGGTGGCCGCTGCCTCCACATGGACCAGCTCCAGGACTTCAATGTGAGATCACGGGGCAGGAAGGGGCCGGGGAGGGGGCTTGGAGGACTGTCCCTGAGCCCAGGAGAGTACACTTATCCCACCTCCTGTTCTGTGCCTCTGCAGATCCCTCAGGCTGGTGGCTGGGGTCCCTGGGGGCCATGGGGTGACTGTTCTCGGAGCTGTGGAGGTGGTGTCCAGTTCTCCTCCCGGGACTGCACGCGACCCATCCCCCGAAACGGTGGCAAGTACTGTGAGGGACGCCGCACTCGCTTCCGTTCCTGCAGCACTCAGGACTGCCCAACTGGTTCAGGTGAGGGGTGGGAGGGGTGGGAACCCTTGGGAGTGGCTGATAGGACCGGAAGGACTGCCTTTTGGGTGCTGGGACCAAGGGAGTGTTCACTGACCTTGCTGGGGCGGGGGCGGGGGCGGGGGCGGGTGGCTGACTTTACCCTTCAGCACTGTTCTGACTGTCCGTGGGGGAGGGAGACGCAGTGCTGTCTACAGGGTCCAAGGGGCTTGGCAGAGGTGCTGTTGGAGCAGTGTGAGGGCGGAAGGCCCTGACTGTCCATTTTATATCTGTAGCACTGACCTTCCGCGAGGAGCAGTGTGCTGCCTACAACCACCGCACTGACCTCTTCAAGAGCTTCCCAGGGCCCATGGACTGGGTCCCTCGCTACACAGGGGTGGCTGCCCGGGACCAGTGCAAGCTCACCTGCCAGGCCCGGGCCCTGGGCTACTACTACGTGCTGGAGCCACGGGTGAGAGCCAGGATGCCCCGGGCCCTGTCTATGCTCACATACTTCCCAACAGTCCCTCTATTTTCTGCTGGCAAAGATCCTCCAAAACAGCACCATTGCTGGCATTCCCACAGCCACACCAGGCCAGCCCAGAGGTCCACTCAGACTTAGCTGTCCATAAACCAAAAAATAAAACCAAACCCGCTGCCGTTGAGTCGATTCTGACTCATAGCAACCCCACAGGACAGAGTAAAATTGCCCCATAGGGTTTCCAAGGAGCAAGCACCTGGTGGATTCAAACTGCCGACCTTTTGGTTAGCAGCCATAGCTCTTAACCACTGTGCCACCAGGGTTTCCTAGCTGTCCATAGGTATTGGGAAAACAAGCCCCAGACTCTGGCTAAGTTGCCAGCCAGGCAGCTCTAGCCTGTTCCGTTTCTCTCAGTTTCCTGTCTTCTCTCTCCCTATCATCCAGTGCTCCATTTGGTGAGAATGGGAGTGTGTGGCCTTTGGGGCAAGTCCTTGCCTCCCTTTCTGTGGGCTCCTCTGTAAGAGTACAGTGGTGGCCTCATTCAGCTCATCAGTGGCCAGTCCCTCAGTGGAAAGGCCTCCCGGAGATGGGTGACATCAATGTCCTCTCCGTGATAGGGTGGCAGTTTGAGGCGTGAAGAACAACAATCTCTTAACAGAGTTTTGCTCCCTTCGCGCCTACTCTGGAGAGAATTCCTACAGGTCGGCTGCCCTCTAGTGTCCATCTAAGAACAGTACTATCAAGGTTTAGGGCTTGCAATTCCCGCCTTGACTTGCCAAGTGTGTAACCTTTGGACAAGTTTCTCAATCTTTTCAACCCCAGTGTTCCACCTCTAGAAACCTCCAATGGTTGTTGAGAGATCTATATTCATGTTGACAAGGACTTAGTCCAGTGCCTGATTCATAGTGAGTGCTCGGAAAACTGTGGCTTTTTTAATTAGTGTCATCATTATGATTGCCATCCCATGTGGCTGGTGGCTGGCGTTCTCCCTACATACCATCCACATCTCCTACCTCACCCAACTTTTCTGACACTCCTTCCCTGATGGGCATGGATCTTGTTTGGCTCACCAGCCCCCTGACTTAGGAAGAGCCCTTAGCATTGGTCCTTCTCTCCTCAGGTGGTAGACGGGACACCTTGTTCCCCAGGCAGCTCTTCAGTCTGTGTCCAGGGCCGCTGTATCCATGCCGGCTGTGACCGCATCATTGGCTCCAAAAAGAAGTTTGACAAGTGCATGGTGTGTGGTGGGGATGGCTCTGGCTGCACCAAGCAATCTGGCTCCTTCAGAAAATTCAGGTTCATTTCCCATTTATTTCCTCCTCCACCTCCCTAGACACGATTCTGGGCCCTAGGACTACAGAGGTGAACTCAACACTGTTTTGACTCTCAGTGAGCTTATAGTCTAGTGGGGGAGTCAGACAGGTCAGTGGTTACAGAACAGCGTCACATGCGTTTGATGGGTGTCAGCTCAGGGTGCTGCCAGGACCATCAGGGAAGGCGTCCCCAGGAGGTGAGCTGAGTCCTGGAGGGAGACTAGGAACTGGACAGGCACCAAGGGAATGGGGTGTAGAACGGCACCTCAGTAAGGGGGGGCAGCAGAGATAAGAGGGAGAGGGATCATTTGCATGTAGCTCAGATCTGGCCTGCATGACTCACATAGGTTTGGGGAGACAACCCTCTATGCACACATATACACACATACCTCATATAAACACAGCTCAGAAAGGCTGAGGGGATTTGGGAAGATGCTGAGCTCCCCACGTCCTCCTTCCACACAGGTACGGCTACAACAATGTGGTCACTATCCCCGCGGGGGCCACCCACATCCTTGTCCGGCAGCAGGGGAACCCTGGCCTCCGGAGCATCTACCTGGCCTTGAAGCTCGCAGACGACTCCTATGCCCTCAATGGCGAATACACGCTGATGCCCTCCCCCACAGACGTGGTGCTGCCTGGGGCAGTCAGCCTGCGGTACAGCGGGGCCACTGCAGCCTCAGAGACACTGTCAGGCCATGGGCCGCTGACCCAGCCCTTGACGCTGCAGGCCCTGGTGGCTGGCAACCCCCAGAACGTACGCCTCCGTTACAGCTTCTTCGTGCCCCGGCCGGCCCCTCCAACAGCACGCTCCACTCCCCAGGACTGGCTGCAGCGCAAGGCCCAGATCCTGGAGATCCTCCGGAGGCGCAACTGGGTGGGCAGAAAATAACCTCACCATTCCGGTTGCCCTTTCTGGGCACCGGTGCCTCAGACTCAGCTGCGTGGAAGAGGGGCTCCTACAGCTGCCTCATGCTAAGTCCCAGTAGGGAGGGGCTCTGGGACGAGAACCACCCCTTCTCTCTGTCCTAAAGTGCAGGCTGGCCCTGCCCTGGTGTCCTGCCCTGGCAGGCAGTGATAGGTCGGTGGATCCAAGGGGGCTGGAAGACAGTCCCCTATCTAAACTGCCCCCTCTGCCCTGCTGGTCACAGGAGGGGGGGGAGGCAGGGTGGACCCCAGTTGTATTTATTTCGTATTTATTCACTTTTATTTAGTAGCAGGGAAGAGGATGAGGATTAGGGTCCTGGGGAAACTGACCACATCCCTCATAGCCTTCACCCTGGCTAGGAAATCCAGGGTGGTGGTGATAGGCATAAGTGTCTGTGTGTGTGTGACTCTGTGTGTGTGTGTGTGTGTGTGTGTGTGTGTGTACGTGCTTATATATGAGGTACATCCTGCCCTGCTTTTTTTTTTCTTTTCTGCGAAAGGAAGAGTCATGGGTAGGATGGGCCTTCAGGGAGTAAGGGATATGAATGCATGTCTTTAAAATAGAAATTGAATTCAATTATTTATGTGCTCCTTTGGTGCCAGACAGATGTGGGTTGCACCCTGGCTCCACATCTCTGAGAATTAGTTTCCTCATTCGTAGATAAGATAACCTCCCTTGGGAATTTGTGAGGAGGACTGAATAATGTAAATAACTAGCACAATGTCTAGCACTAGGGAAGTGCTCAATAAATGGCAGCCACTGTTAGTTATTGTTGTTGTCTTTCTGTCCACTTCCATCCTCCCTGGGGACTGCAATGCACTTGAAGGTGACAAAGATCCGTGTCAGTGGGGTCTGCCCCCACATCAGGTTGGCGGAACCCTATCCTGAATTCCTAGGGCCTATCAGAGAAAGGACGATTCTGCCCCTCACCTCTGGAAGCTCCCAATCACATGGAGGAGACTTAATAAACACTTGGCTACAAGCACAATTGACAAGAACGTGGAGGTGCAAAAATAACAAGAACGACTGCATTAACACAAAAAAGCAGTTAGTAATGAGAGCGGTAGTTGGAGGAGGTGGGGGACTGTTGTAGAAAGAGCACCAGAGCAGGAACCTTTGGGTCTGAATTCGAGTTGGGGTTCAGCATCTTACTAGCTGGGCGGTGCTGGGTAAGTTAAAGATACTGAGGCTTAGTTTGCTCATATGTGGAATGGGGCTAATCATACCTGTTCCCCCAGGGTTGTTCTGAGGACAAATGTTAGAATACTTGAATAGTAAATGTTGTACCCATGTGAGAGGATACTCTGACAACTCCTGACTGACTGGGACAAGGTCCCCAGAATCAACAAATATAAACCCAGCAGCCTTCTTAGAAAAGGTGAAGTTAAAAGGGAATTTAATAAGAGGAACAGAACATGGTTTGGTAGGGGATAGGAAGGCAGGTGGAAAGAATGGCGTGGAGAAGGATGGGCAGTGAGCGAGTGGGAGCCAGGTGTGCAGTGGTGGCGAAACACTTGAGAGGCAGAGGGGTCCTGGAAAGCGCTCGACTTTTCCTTCTGAACAGATTACTGCTTCAGAAAGAGCTTGGGTAGTCCTGTGTACATCACGGAGGGAGCAGGGACGGGAAAGGGCGGGCAAGTGGACCCTGCAAGCATTTGGAGTTTCAAGTGGCAGTAGTGGGACTGCGAGGGATTGGGGAAGAAACTAAATACGGAGGTGAGGGAGGAACTATAGGTAGAGAAGACTTGGGGCTGGGATTGAGAGAGGGGAGACCAGGGAACTAAAGGTCCCTACTCGCCATAAGAGAACCTAGATGGGCTGCCAAACATTGCTTGGGGTATGGAGTTGGGACTATGGGGTTGAGGCTGTGGTGGTTGTGTGATTGTGGGTGCTGTGCTCACTATGGCTGGGCTTTGCTGATCAAGTTCTGTTACCAGACAGTGCCTTAAAACAATGCCCTGTACTTTATACCACGGGGCACAGCGCCTACTTCTGCAGCAATGGGACAAAGGCCACCCACGCTCTCTTCTCTCCAGCAAACACAACTTCCAAAGCTGTGCTTGGCCTCTGGCCATTCCTCTGGCCCGCCTACCAACCAGGCTACAGGAGGTAGAAGCAGGAGAGTGGGACAAGCCCAGAGTGTTCAACTGTTTCACCTAGTTAGCAAAACTGGACCACCAATAACATGTTATGGACCATAATACTGTGGACTAATGGTACAATGAGCAGAGCCTGTGCTAAGGAGATGTGAGGCACTAACACAGACAATATATGACCATGTCCAAAGGAGCTCACACTGCATTCCAAGCGGAAGGTTATGTACTACACCTCCACAAAGAGAAACAATGGGGCAATACAAGGACCTGTGAGACAAGGGCAAAATGAACTGTGCAGAGGCTGAGTGCCAGACTTAAGGGACTGTGAGGGTTACGGAGGGTGAGTCTTGGGCTGGGACATGAGGAACAGGTAATCATAATAGCTCTTCTTTAGTACTTAAGGTGATTCACACTTTGCAAGTCACTTTCACACATATTATTTCAAGCAGAAACCCTTTGCTCGCTGAGTAGGGTTCTAACTGGCATAAAGGAGTTTTTCCCAAAAAGAGACTGAGCTTATAAGTCACCTCTGTGATTGGGCGTGTGGGGGGCATATAGTGAAAGGGCTGAGATTGCTAGCTCCTCAAAGAGAAGTGATGGACAGACGGGCCCTCAATCCCCGGCAAGACTTGACCCTTTTCTGGAGTGGTCTCCCGCATACCACCCTTCCCAGACCCAGGCTATAGACTCTACCCAATGTCTTGAAGCCAGGAGCCCAGCAAGTTCTTCCTGGGGAGGTGGGGATGCATATCCCCCTGCAAGGGCCAAGATGAGCTCTGTCTCCCCAGTCTGCCCACGTGTTACCTTCATAGACCTGAGATGGGAGCAGAAACAGGAATAATAGGAAGCAAGGAGAAGGCATTGACTGAGACAGTTCCAGGATCTGGTCGGAGAGAGAGGGAGGAAGAACAATGAGGAGCTGAAAAGAGAAGGGCCAGTGACTGCTGAAGGAGTGAGCACCGTGCCCTGAAGAGGTTCAGCAGAGTCTGGATAACCATTTTACGGGAGGGCAAGGGTAGTGTGTGAGTGTGTTTGTGGTGGGCGAGAAGGTTGAAGCAATAACTGAGTTGGGCCAATTTCTTTAAGCTTCTGCCCCTGAGAGTCTCTGCTTCTGTGGTTACAGCAGAGGAAATCTGGGCATTAGTCCAACCACTAGTTTTGGGGTAGGGATGGGAGAGTCACGATTTCTAGGGGGTGCTGTGGAATGGGCTGCTACTCATTTACACTCATACTCCCATTTCTACCCCACTTCTTTAAGATCTGTACAGTATTACAGTATTCTTTTCCCTAAAATATCAAATTGACAGTGACAAAACTAGTATCTCATTGGTCTGGGCTTATGGGGGATGAGGAGGAAGAAAGTGGAATTCAGTGTATTTGCATCTTATTGGCTGAGAGGATGCTTCTGAACCAATTGAATGCCTTCCCCATTGACTTGTTGCTAGGGGGAATCCAAAATCACTGGCACCAAGACTAGGCAGCTGACAGCTGGCGGAAACCACCATTTCTGAAAATGCTCTGAAAGGGGGGTAGTGAGGGAAGGTGGAGGAGGAACAGTACTAAACAACTTCCCCAGACAGGACCTTATATGGGCGCAGGCCCAGAGTACTTAAGTAGCCTTAGGAAGAAAAGAGTGGCGGAAGTAGATTTAAAGCTTCCTTTACCGTCTTTGGAAACCCTGGTGGTGCAGTGGTTAAGTGCTACAGCTGCTAACCAAAAGGTGGGCAGCTTGAATCCACCAGGTGCTCCTTGGAAACTATGGGGCAGTTCTACTCTGTCCTATAGGGTCACTAAGAGTCGGAATTGACTCCACAGCAATGGGTTTTGTTTTGTTTTATTACCGTCTTTGAGCAACCAGCAGCAAGCCCCTCAAGCCCAGTAACGTACAAGAACACAGTGACACACACATGTCCAACAACATAGAAATATATTAGCATGCTCTCTTGATAATATAGATGCAAATGAGCATTGCAGAGCTGAAAATAGGAGAATTTTGGCCTGAAAATGGATCTGTGGAAAAGAGTAAAATATATTAATTGTCCTAATCTCCCTTTGAGAACTTGCTGTTTGTCTCATTTATCTGTTCAATAAATGTCATTGGGTTATAAACTGGAATCAAGTCATGCTCTCAACAGCATCTGGTAGGGAGGAAAGGAATGGAGTTTTGGAGTCAGACGGAACCCAAAGCTTTGCTACTTGCTTACATGCAATGATATGACCTTAAATTACTTGGTCTCTGTGGGCCTAAGTTTCCTTCACTGTAAAATGGGTATACTATTATCTGCCTTATGGAGTGGGTGTCAGGATTTAGAATATAATGATTTAGGAATATAAATGCTTGGCACTGCGTCTGGATTCTAGGAAGTAGTCAATACATGCTGATTCTCTTCACCTTGCATCTCTTCCTTTGCCTGCCCCCGCTTCTCACCCCTGTGTTATTAGCATTAGAAAATAATTATACCAGGAACTGTCTACAGATTTAAGATGAAGTATTTTGTAGAGTTTGTGCCAAAAGTTCTAGGTGACATTCAGGGGGTGATAAAAGGAAAGACATGGTCCCTGTCCCCAAAGAGTTTACAATCTGGTGCTGAGAAAGTCAGGCAGGACAAAAATTCCAGACCTGTGTGACAGATGCCATGAGAGAAGATGGGCACCTAGCACAGAATATGGGGACCCCATGGAGACAGTAGAGTGGCAGGAGTAGGAAGGAGGATTTCTGTTTGCTAGGTGAGCTCCAAGGCTCTTCTCTGTTATTTTTGCACCTCTGTTACAGTTATGCAAAATTAAGGTGAAGTAAAGAAGAACAAATCTGAAAGTGGAGGATAATACAGTAAAGAGCTGAGCAAGGGAGACACCTGGAAAAGCTATGTGGGCTGAAGGGGGTTGGGAAAGAGAGTTTTGGGGAGAATGTGACATGTACGTGAAAAACGTTTGTGCCC